AAAATTATAAATCGTGAGATTTAAGAATTTGAAAAGTTGAATTTAAAAACAACTTGATTCAACTGAATTGATATAGAAAATTATAAATTTTTACGAAGACAGAAAGAGAATCGAGAGAAAAAACGAGATGAATTTGAAACAGCCTCAAATCCCAAGGCAATCTCCGAACGAAGCTCATCTCCGCTGCGATCAATTGATTTCTGATCGACCCGATTACCAGGAATTCTAAACCCAATTCGAAACCGAGTCAATGACGAAGCTCCCGCTTAGCCTTTATTCTTCGTCGTTCTTCTCTCAGGGGGCACGAGAATGCGTGGGCCAACTGGATGGATCGGTCGGATGTTCTCACGGGCTGGCGAAATTGCCAATATAGAAACGCGTGAGATGACGTGTGACATCATCAACGGGGAATTCGAATTCAAAACGTGCGGCAACACACGTACAAAAAAGAAGCTTGATTCACCGCCAGCCAACGTTTGATCTGCTGCCAAATCAACCGGCCAATATTACTTCCATTTAAGAGTGCCGTTCACGGCCGTTCCACGAGCATCGGATTCCTTCGATATCAATAAGTAATATGACATCCAGGCGAGGACGTATATATACGCGGGGGTCACGGGCCTGGGCACAAAGGTCGATTGTTGCGTCCGTCTGCGCCGATTTTTCGACGGCCACCGATCTTCCCTACTACTCCTTTTTAATCGAGAGGGAATCGCCCGCCACACACGTTGATCACTCCGCCCAATTTGACCATGATAAGTTTCGTGGATTCTTAGCAGCCGCTCCTTTACACCAATTTTCTTTTCACTTGATTAAATCGAGCTAGGCCGCCAGGTTGGATGGATTTTTAACCTTTAAAGAGGATGGAAGGTGATTGGAAGTGAATCGAGTAATTTGATTCAACAATTTCTGTTCGTTGCTTGCGAGGATCGATGTTTTGTTGTATAGATTATTGTTTCAATAATAATATTTTTAAAATTTTAAAATCGTATTACACGATTCATGTCACGTAATAATATCAATATACATCATCACCAAAGGAAAAATTATTTAGAATCGAATCTATTTGTTGATTATTGGAATTTCATTCGAGTTAATATCTCACGCTTAAGTTTTTAAAAATGTACGATATATCATTTGTCACTAGCGATACTAATATTGAAAAAAAAAAAAAACAAAAACTCATAATTTTGAGAATTTAATATGAATGAAAATCACACTTTCCCTCTCCTCGTCATCAACAACATTGGAGTAGAAAGGAATTGCATAGGCGATAGGTGTAGCTAAAGTCGAGTGACCTGCTGCCCCCAGTCCATCACCCCTTACATCCACCGTTCTCCTCGTGGCACCCTCGTGGCGTACACTCCTCTCCGCCCCTCCCCCCTGCGGCAACGTCCCTTCCACCTCCGCCGCCCAGCTTTTTCTCGGGGGTTCATCGATCGCCCCCAATCACCCACACCTGCCATCTTGCCTCTCTCTATCCCCTTAAAACCCTGAACGCTTTCTTACCTCGACACTCGCTTCTTTCTTCTTCTTCTTTACTGTTTTCTTTTTATCTTTCTTTCTTTCTTTTTCTTTTTCTTTTCCTCCCTTTCTTCGCGATGAAGATTTCTTTATCGAACTTCCACCACCCGCGTAACCTTCCTTCTGCCCCATTTCATATTTGAAATCGTGACGTTTATTTGAATTGATTTCACCATTATTAATGTTGGGCGAAGAAGATTGTTTTTGTATTGGAATTTTTGAATAATCGAATAATGAATAATGAATTTGAAACAAAAGATTTATTTCTTAACTTTGAAGATTTTTTTTTTCTATGATGAGTTTCTACAATTCTTTTTCTTTTTATATTTTTTTACTCTGAGATGTTCAACTTTTTAATTTAAATACCAAAATAATTCGTTTTTTTATTGTGATATCTTCTGAACTTTGTTAAATCTTATTCCTTTTACACTTTACATTATTGAGAATGAAATTTTTTTATTAAAACAATTGAGAGATGCACTTCAATATAATAATTGTTATTGGAAATTTTTTAATTAGTATTCGATTCGTTCTTTTTTTATTCCAACGTCTTCGTCCTTCACATTCTTCCAGTTCTTTGAGCAGCCAAACCTCGGCTGGCCTCTTTATCTCGTGCAAACAGTGAGGTTTCATTTCACGGCTTTGTTCTCCCTCATCCCTTATTCCATTTCCGGTATCGGTCGGGCGTGAGTCTATCTTACTTTCCATCGAAATTAGTTTTTCTTCCAGATCGTTCACACCCCATTCCTCATTCCTTTCTACGATGAGAAAAATAAATGTTTGTTTGCCTTCTTTCTTTCCTTTTCCCTTCCCCCATTATAATCCCCTTAAAATCCTCTACAATTATGAATATTCTGAAGAACTTAATAAAAAAAGATTAAATTACAATTTAAAGCTTCATCTTTTAATATCCAATTTAAATTTTCAATTAACAAATGAAATCCTCCTTGTTTAACACTTTTTTAAAATCTATTCCATTCCTTTTCCAATTATCACATTCACACTATCAAAGATGTAAATTTACATGAACGTTTGCAATCAATTAATATTTCCAACCATCAGAAAGAAATTAGCGAGGGAGCACATTCCATTAGCCATTTCCAAACGAAGAAATATAACATCCATCATCTATTATCATTCCAGCAATCCCTGTCCGCCATTTGTTTCGCGGGCGCCGCCAAAATTACGATCGATGGGCTTAGAAGCCGACCGATCCCGAGGGGTCACGGGGATAATATCGATGAGCCGAATATTAATGTCTGTTCGTCGGTGACGGCAATTGGTGCTAATTAGCGGCACGCATCTTCCTCAATTGAGGCTCGTTTCGACCGCCACCCTTCAGCCATCGCGCTTTCGACACGATGTTCGGCCTATGCGAGCGTTCGGTAAGGTCACGGTCATCTCGACTAGCCTTAGAAACTTCAACAGCGGAACACACAAAGTAGACCTCGTTCCCTATTCTTCTTTATTTCAATTTCTTTTGTATATTCTTTCTATCTTTTAAACGATATTCAATGGAAATTAATTTTCCAAAATGTAAACTTTATCGTCTTCTTTCTGTTCAGTGATAAGGATTTATATATTTTCTTTATTTTCGTTCTTTTTCTCGTTTGCGTTATTTCTGGGATGATTCGAATCTTTGTAGGCAAATTGTATCATTGACGTAAGTGATATTTCGTTCTTCCTTCATTTTTTGTTCATAATGGAAAGATTGTAAAGTTTTTCGTTTTGTTATGTTATAATTCTTTGTTGAAGTGAATGTAAAAATCTAAATTGGATTGCCTAAATGTTTAAGTTCATTTTCTTCGATAATAGAAGGTTTATAGATTCTTTATTTTAATTTTTTTTTTATTAAATTATTAAATTTATTTTATTAAATTATACTTATAAATCTACATACATCTCAACTTGACATTTTCGTGTGATGGATTTTTATCGCATTTATACGTTCAATGCAATCGATGCATTATGCATGTCACGCATAAGAGTTCGATTTTGAAAGGTGTACAAGTATCGGAATTGTGGTCGCATAAAGTGATGAGAAACGGAAACGCCACGTTACTGTGATAACTTTTTACATATATGCATACAACATTTATACCAGCTATTAGCGTACCCACATGTTACGGAAAGAAGTGATGAATTTACATGTATGGAACAATAAATATACTATATCTCTTAGTTACCTTCCCTTCAAAGTATCGCAGATATGCAATGTGCGAACAATTTTCAATACATCATAGTTACTTTGTAATTATTTACATTATATTCTAGAATATGGTTATTGATGCTAATTTCATTCGACTTTTGATTGGACTTTCATTGAATTTTGATTAACAAGAAGTTTTATTATATTCTTATCTATTTAAATGTTATTGGTTTTGAGGATCATTTATGTCTTCTATTCATATTTATGTTTTATTAAATAAGAAAACTTCATTTGTAATTAATGATCATTTTTATTATGTGTGAATTATATAATTCTAATTATATAATTAGAAGAATTATCATTAATTATAATAAAATTAATTATAAATTGAATGTAAAATATTTATAAATATAAGGCTTTAAATAATACAGGAAATCATAAATTTATATTATATAAATTTCAATTATAATTACTAATTGTTTTCCAAAGAATTTTGATAGAAATTCTATTTTAATGAGCAATTCATATTCCTATTAAAATATAATATAACATTCCTTAACATTTTTTTATCATTTTAGATCTTAAATTAAAGACTTTTCTATTTTTAAATATTTAATTACAAATTTTTACAATATTAATCAATAAATTTCTCTAGTTCCAAAATTATAAAAAAAATAATAAATATTTCTTAATTTCTTGAATCCTAAATATGAAATTATATTCGTATATTTATTTATTTAAAATATTTCAAATAAGTTTTAAATTAATAAATGATCTTAAATTTCGAATTCTGAATTAAAGATTTTTTTAATTTTTAGTTCCAAAAATTTCTCAAATCCTATTTATATATTTTCGAATTACAGATTTCTCAAATAGACATTAGATTTTTTTTTTTTGAATCTCAAATCAAAATTTTGCATGATATATTTCAGTTATCACGTCATTTAATATTTCCGGTCACGATATTCAGTGGAATAATATAACATATACGGCTCGTTTGACACGCTGCGACGAATATGACGCACGCAATTTTCTAGGTCGTCACGACGCAGCAGGGAAGGTCAGGATTGGTTCAAGTCCAAGCGAGTCGTCGCGGCCGTCAACGTTGATGGTAACGCGTTCGTCTTGTTGCTAGTTGAACTATAATTAGCGAATTTTGACACGGAATTTCTTCAGTTCGCTGGAAACAGACCAAAGAAACATGCCTCTTCGATTTATCGCCATTGCCATTTCTCCTTAAATAGATATTGCTATAAGTGATAATATGATGAAGATGTGAATCTTTCGTTAAGAGATATAAACCTTCTATGAGGTTGTTGCCAAGTTTAATAATCTGATGATCTAATAATTCCCATACATGAATTTGATGTATATCTATATCTTATCCAAAATATGGACAAGATATAAATATCATAAAATTCATATCATTTATTTCATGGTACTACACATTACCAATCCTAAATTATAAACATCAAATTATACATTTTTTTCAAAATAAATATAATAAATTTGCTTCAAAAATCATTTAGCGTTTTATAAAATGCTTAAAAAAACGAAATGATGGAATAAATGTAAATATTTTGTAAGATAAAAAATATTTCTATGTATATTTATTTTGATATTAAATTGTTAGATAGAATATGTATTATGTTTTATAAAAAAATAAAAAGAATTTAAAAAAAAATAAATTTTAATTAAATATAATGTAATGTGTAACAATATCATCGATAGTTTCAAAGATATTGCAGGGAATCGTAGATCTTCTTTGATTTATGTCTATTGCTCGGCTTATAATGATTCTATCCCACCGATTATTCAACTGTTCGAATATTATCCGACAGTTATACCACCTAGAATATCATGTAGATCCGATTTATCATAACAGATTTCATTTTCTATTATAAATTTCATGTTATCTTGAGAATCCTTTAAACCTAAAATATTGTAAATAATTCAAATTGATTATTCATAATATTGATTAAAACTAGAAATAATTATTAATGATATAATTATCAATAATACTCATCTTATATACATAAATTAAATCATTGACAATTTGTGAATAATTTTCAATCTTCAAATGTTTGTCTACGGCAGATTAATAATCATTAATACCAGAATTTTGAAGTGAAAAAAAATCTAATACAATATCTATCAGTATTACCATGTGCGTTGACGTGTATACTCATACTCGAGAGCTTCACCCTTGACACCCCTTCTTCTTGCACTCAGCAGCCCACGCTCGCGATGAAGCTCCGCAGGTGGCCGGACGTCTTTAAAACGCTTTGATAATCTCAAATTTTCGCGAAATCATACGCTTTGATCTTGTGATATCTTTTGATAATCTTCGTAGATCGTTTTAGAAACTGTTGCTGAAATCTAATTACATCAAACATTAGATTGTTTAAAATAAACTGTTTTTTAAGGAAGATTTAATGCATTTTTTTATCTTTGATAATTATATTCATTCCATGAAAAGATAAATTAATATTAATATAAATAATATAATGAAAAGATAAATTAATATAAAGTTTTGAAACATTTATAATAAACTTTCGATATTTGATTATATTTCTAAATTCGAAAGAAAGAGATAAAAGTGGAAGTGTTTGCGAAGAAGAATAATTCAAAAATTACATCGAAATTTTCTTTCTTTTGAATTTTTTAATTTCAAATAAATATTAATAATAAAACTTGAAGGATTAGCTCTAAGCCATAATAAAAATTCAATTTCTTGCATTTTAGGTTAGGTTAGAATTCGCTTTTTTAAGGAAACGAAAAGAATGAGATTCCGATACAAATTTTATGATACAATCTCGACAGCTATATTTTTATGTATTTAACTTTATTTCGATGCTTGTTTATATATAAGTTATGATAATATTATCATACCGGAAGTCTTCGCAAACAACAACACATAATGTTTTTACGCGAAAAACGTTGCACCGTAATATTCAACTTCTGGCACGGTTGTTTAGTATCGAACATTGAAAAAATTCTAGCATTGCTTCAGCCTACGTGGTTTCCAGCTAGGCTAATAAAATATAAATATATAGACCTGGCCACCCTGTGACATTCTTTGAAATATATTTTTGAGAATTTGTTATTTTCTAGTTCTAGTATTGATATCGTGTACACGAAAAGAAGATACCATAAAATGAAAAAATCCATTTGTGAATAAGAATCATAAAAATCAAACTAGATATTATGAAATTATATTATTAAAATTTTAAAAATAAAAGATAAAATATTCGAAAGAAAATTAAGATGAGATTTGAATCTCGATTATCTGACAGGTAAGATGATCATTTTTATATTATAGTTCGTTGAATTTCAATCATTAAATATTATCGTGTATTAAATTTCAATATAAATTACTATAAAAAAGAAATCTATTATTAAACTTACTAAACAAAAAAATTTTCAATTTATTTTTATTCTTATTTCTTACTTTTGTCAAAAATATTTTCTAATTAATCAAAGAAATTATAACATAAATTTTGATATTTTCGTTTTTGTATAAAATACTAATAATGAATATAAAATAAGGAGATCGAAAAAATATGAAAAAATTATACTTCTATTTTCTTTTTTATTTGCTTATCATGTTTAATATAATTTGAGAAAAAAAAATAGAAGAAAGTAATATAGATTAGAGTGATGCGAAAATAAAGTCAAGCTGATACGTTTAAAATATTATTGATTTGGAGCATTTAATCAATAAAAAAAATAAAATATAAAAATAATCAAAGAGAATAGAAAAATTTCAACTACAAATCAATATCACTTAATTAATTTTGTTGAATAATTATATGACGCTTTGAATTAATTAATTATTTCTTTCATTAATAATTCTTTTGTAAAAAATTTAAAATATTTTTCTTTATCAATTGATATAATTATCAATTGAATTATAATTTTTAAAAAATATTAAAAAATATTAAAATTTTAAATTTTAATTCGTAAAAATTAAATCATCATTTCTTGGCTGCAATATTCTCTCTATATATATTCTCAATATTCCGAATCTGCAATAACTAGCAGACGAGAACGTAAAGTAAAACGAACAACTTACTTTCTTCATATTCCATATTCTTGTAACGAATTTTCAATTGCTATTAGAAGAAAAGCAGGAAATCGAAGGATGTATTTCGAGGTTATGTTCACTGCGTAACATTTGCAACGAACACTGCGACATAGAGGACGATCGAAGGATCTCGAGACTTACGTAAAACCCTTCGCGCTCGATCGAATTTCCTGACCACCCGGCGACAGTCTATACGACCATGTACGCCTATTACGTCGCCTTTACGATCTCCTCGTAAACGTCCAGGCCCGCGAAATTGATAGACCACTACGTTACACGAACGAACACATCTGTACATACGATAGTCCCATCGTGGCAGCACGTACGATGTCTTCTTTCAACTCGCTAGATCGTTCCTCTACCGTATTCTCGATTTCTATCGTAAAAGATCGATAATCGATAGGACAATCGATTTTTCAAATAGATCTGAAACGAGTCGCATAAAGACATTCGAACAAAATGGCGTTTTGTGTCGTAACGAAAGTTATCTTGTCCATCTATACAACGAAACGATAGAAAAAGAATATTTCATAGTTCGAGGTTATTTGTTTCCTGTTTCAAGTCGAATTATATAAAAAAAGAGGTTAGTATAAAATAATAAACTTTTATTTTAGAAAATTATTGACACAGGAAATATCGTATCAATTTTTCGTTAATTTGCTATTTTAAATAAATTTCGTTTTGAAGTATCAAAAATTATTAGTTTTTTTGCATCTTTCTATAGATATTGTATATCAAAATAAGAAATTTTTTCATATATATGAAAGATTATCGAATGATCTTCAAATCTTTTGTATTAAAATAGAGGTTAAGTAGGGAGAGTAGAATAGTAAAAGCAATTTTCATTTGAGAAGATTTTGATACTTACATTAATATAAAATATTCTGACAATTCTATATTATTCCATCACTTTTGTCATGCAATGAGAATTTAGTATGTCAAGTAGGAAAAATCGTGCCAGAATATATTACAGATGTATATAGATTACATAGTTCCATTCTACGTTATATAATAAATGATATTGATCAATCTTTGGATTGTGTGTGTCAAAGGAAATATTAGGATAAACAAGTAAAAAAAGAAATTTCACTTTCAAGAAGAAAGATTCTCACAATTTACACAAAATATTCTGTCAGTTCCTCGTTAATCCGTCGCATTTATCGCGTAAATGAGAATTTTGTTTTGCCAAGGGAAAAGAACTGTGTCACCGGTGACAGCATCGTACATCCACGTTACAATGAAGCTTTCGAAAATGAGACAACACGAAAGTCAAGCGTCGTAAAAAGCACGTAATAGTTTCAACCGGCCAATTCTGTAAGCGACTGATGACTTTACGAGCGAGACGCGACTCCAGACGCCGACCAGACGCGAATGGTTCAGCGCGAGTAAATCTAACCTCGCCTACGCTTGCTAAAACGGCGCCGGTGTCACAACGCGTAAAAATTATTTGCTACTAGTAGACAGCTACTGTTTTAAAAATACAGCGTCTAACTAACTGTTCTCGATATGGATCACCTAGGATTTTTTACGACACTGTGTGGATATGCAAACTGCTTTTACGATATGAAGTTTCTAACCATGCTAATAATGCTTTCATAGTTTTTTTAATTTTTTAATTTGATTTTTTAATTATTTCAATTAAACAATCATTTTAATTAAGGTAAAATACAAAATTATAATAATAATATAATAAATATTTTAAAATCAAATTAAAATAAGTTAGGTTAGAATAGAATTCGTGATGATATATATATATATTTAATAGAGAGATTACTATACATTACTATAAACATTGTATTAATTAATCAAATTTAAATTTAAAATTCAAAAAAAAAACAAAAGAAATGTTAAATTTAAATTTGAAATTAAATATAATAATTCAAATTATATATTAATATCACAATATTATATAAATTTCAGTTCACTATCGGTGATGATATAAAGTCACTTGATGTTTTAATCGTTTCGATAATGATTATTGAATAACACGTCGTTACTTCGTACGCGCGAAATTTAAATTTGCCAGACGTTCGTAGTAAAAAAAAAAGTCAGAAGAGATGACGGAGAAGCGAATGAAGTGGCAGACGACGCGGACGACAAGAAGGGAATTGTAAAGTCGTCATAATTGATTGCATCTTTCGCAAGTAGAGAGGCGAAGCTCGAAGAGGAGGCTGAAAGGAAGAAGACAGTGGAAGAGGACGAGTGGCTCTCTAGCTGATACAAGAGCCGTTGACATTACCGCGTTGCTCCTCGTCGCGAAACCACGCGCCACCCACCGAGCACCGTGATTTTTATTTCGGCTGGCAATAAACAGATCCATCGTGACTTTTTTTCTCTCTTTCTTTCTCTTCTCGCTTTATGATCTTTCTCCTCTTTATTCTTTTTTTTCTCATTTTCTTCTTTTATGACGATCGTTCTTCGACAACAGAGGACATTATCAATAGTGAAAGATGTATTATTTATAATAATTATAATTTCAGAGAGGTAGTTTATTATTCAATTATTCCACGAGTAAAGTGTTTCTTTCGTTTGAATTATATAACTTGTTTCAAATTTAATATTAACGAGTTAATGAATGAAAATAAATTATCTGTATAATTTTTTCTCTTTTAATCAATTCAACTGAAAAATGAAAATGCAATGATTTATTTGTAACAGAATATTGATTTTTTCTAATCTACTCTTTGTTATTTATTTAATGAGTTTAATAGAAAAATTTTCATTGCGTATTATTTATTTCAAATAGTAAACTTTTATAAACTTTTTGAAATCTTTACTTCAATAGGTGACAAAATCTAACTTAAAGTTTCATCGAATATTTTTCTAATATATTTTATTGTATCAATTTTCATTTAAACGTACAGATAACAATGCCCGTCCAGACGAAATACAATCGATGTCAGGCCACTGTTTTTCTCCTGTCTTTAAACGTGTGAATGTCTTCGCCATATCGCATCAAGGACGGATTGTCTCTTTCATAGTGTTTTCGTGAGACGAATTTCTGGAACGTTGTCTCTTTACAATCGTGTGAAAAGATCGAAACGGAAATAAAATCCTTCTCACTCCTAAAAATCGATTTTACTACCGTCCATATTGGAAATTCCTTACACGGAGAACAATGAAAATCCTCAAATAATATTCAAAAAGGTAATATATTAAAATGTTTATTATTCGAATATATTTATTATTTTTTGATAATTTACTATTTCTTTTTGATATTTTATTTTATCATTGATACATATTATTATATGAATCTTCCACTATTCAAACATTGTTTGAATATTACATTACATTAGATTAAAATTAATTTTTCTTGAATTTATTTAGGTTATGTTAAAAAACTACTTATAAATATTGATTCTTCTTCTAAATAATCATAAAGCATCCAAAATTTTCCACTTATATTCGAGTCTATTTGCAATATATTAGATCTCATCTATATTTTATCTACTTTCAAAGGACGAAAGTTCATATTATACCTCTATCTCGTCAAACAGCCATAATAAAAGAAATCTCTCCAACTTTTGGTCACATCGATAACCTTGAAATTCATACTGTTTTTCCTTATTACGAACAACTAAAGAGTTCGTCAGAAGTTGTTGTGATTTCTTTTAAGAAGCCCTTCGGAGAAATGGCGGGTGATTGATGTCAAACACACACAGATCACCCTGGGGGATCGACGATCCCGTTTCACCAACGACCTCGACTCATCAAGGACAATCCTTATCGGAGCTAATAGACACGAAGGATTTTCAAGCGAACCTACAGAAAAACAAAATCTAACGATGAATCGGGAATATCCTCGAGCAAATGGGAGCACCCTCGTCAACCACAATTTTCCATCGAGTTCTTCTTACTGTCAAGGTCGAGGCAGATTGTCACAGCGAGGAGGGCACGATGATTATCGCGTATTACGAATCTGTCCACTATGGATCTGTCGACTACTGAGAAAATCTTCTCGAAGGGATGCCAGATTATTGCTCGATTGTTGCTCGAATTACTTCTGTTGAGCAAGAAGTTTGTCTGAATAATAATGGCTGCCAATGTTTCAATAACATTGCAAATATTATGTTCGTGATATGGTATGGACGATTGGATGTTTATCTTTGATCATTTTGATCGTAATTTCGAATACGTTTCGTAGAAATGTTGAAATGTTTTTCGGCTATTCTTAATGTTTCTTATTTAGAAGTTTTTATTTTTATTATACAAAGTTCTAATTCCAAATTATATTTCTATTATGAAATGTAATTTACTGGAATAGAAACTACAATAACGTTTGCAAAAATATTATCATAATGTATGTTTATAAATGAGGACATTTAATTTAAGATAAATGAATATTATAGTTATAAAATGAAATTAAAACTTATTAACGATGTAATAACTTATATATGTACTTATATAATATAAACACGACAGTATCTTTTTAAATTACATAACGTAGAAAGCATACATTTTTTATAATATTTTTGTTTCTATGCTTAAACTAAGTTAGGAATTACTAGAGAAGTTCGTAACCTAAGTTTAACCTTAAAATTTACTAGACTCGTCGTACGAAGTCAAAATAATGGAGAAAAAGATGATAAATAAAATAGAGAGAGGCTGTGAGGAAGGAAAATGGCCGGTATTACGAATTATGGCCGAACGAAAGCGAATGCAATTAAGGGATGCCGTGGAAATGGGAAATAATGAATTCAAGCCCCGTTTCTGCCCGTGTGCTCCCGGGGGATTACCGTGTGGCCGTACGATTCAAGGGGTAGGAAGGAAGGTGAAGATTATTCCGGCCTGCAAAGGGAATCTGGAAGCTATGACCTACTTCAATTTGCCTTCTCCACATTCGTAGGCACTCCACGTT